AGCTCGGGCCTCGTTGCGTCTCCTCAGGTCGTTGATGTTGACGATGAGCCGAGCCTTATTCTCGCTGATCATGTCCCGGACTTTGCTCTGATAGATGCCCTGGTCTTGCTGCAGGTATGCACAGAAGAAACGGGCACACGTTTGATGACGTCGCTTAGTCATTACGAGCATTACTGAAAAACATCAACTTTGAAAGCACGCTTTTTATACCTAAAATCTGCAATCTGACAGCAGCATTATTTTTTTCTGTAATATACAAAATTACAGCTCTTTTGTTGTGACCGCATGGTTTGTCATCTGAGCTCCAAACAAAGACTTTAAGCGAATTTAAAAAAAACAGACTTACGTCGTCGTCCAGAAAGTCCAGGTAGTCCCTCTGAGCCTCCCTCATCTCCCGGTCATCTCCCACGTCGGTTGCCATTATGCGCGCTTTGTTATTGTTACTGAAAAGTCGGTAAAATGCCGCACAGCCTTCCGCTCCGAGTGCTCCGCTTCAGTCAAGCCGCACAACTGAAGGGTTTTCGCGCCACTACGTGCCGCCCGCGAGCTCAGCGTGACACGCGATTGGTCAATTCGGCACGCACCGCTTTACATAGTCGGCGGGTAAACGTGCAACTGTCCAATGCGGGCCTCGTGTTACCACGTGACTCCGCCCCCCTGAGAAACTCCCGCGAAAACCCATCAGGAAGTGGCAGGCTGTTAAAAGTGAACAAAATGATTTTTTCATGTTTGCCCAGCAGATGGCGACATAAACACATGTTTACATTTTTTAGTGGGATTTTTGCATTTATTTGAAGCTTTTAAGAGAAAGCAGTTAGTGTCAAATATATAAACAGTAATAAGAAAACATAGCAAGACTTTTAATAAGAAGAACGACAAATGGGGCATGCATGTGTTCTTTCAAATTAAAGTTACATTTTACTCTTCCACTGATAAACATTAAGCATCATTTCAGACAATCTGCATTTAATTAAAAGTTTTCATATAAAATAAGACTGAAAATGAACAATAATAACTTGCATACATACTGTGTACTATAATAATAAATAGTAATATACTATTTTCAGTATTTTATTTTTTATTTTTATGTGGACATCTGTGCTTTGACCAAACATAGACTTCAAGGAACTTGATGATTTTCATGATCTGGAGTTTACATTTTGGAAAAATTCATTAGTTCCAATTAGAGATGGCACGATACCACTTTTTTATGTCCGATACCGATATCATAAATTTGGATATCGGCCGATACCGATATGAATCTAATATAGTGTGATTTTAATCAATAAAACTGTTTTTTTTTAAATATCTTGCTTTTGTATAAGTTCATACTCAAGTTTAAAAAACAAAACAACAACACTAAAGCTATTCTGTTAAACCTGTATGCAAAAAATACACTGCACCCAAAATATTTCATAGTTCAGCAACACTGATCAATCTAATAAACTTAAACCTACTACATCGTCCTTATTCTGGTGTTTTAAAGAGTCCTTAGCAGAATTATTAAGCAACCTAACTAATAGCAAAAAAAAAAAAAAAGGGAACCCCCACGCTCCACCTCATGATGCTTAATCGACGTAATCAACTTTAATTTGATGCAGTGTGAAAAAAAATGCACAGAATTAAATTATTTTTCAAGAATAATTAAATAGATTCAACATCTTTCTTCAACAGAACTGCAGAGATGGTTCCCAAAGGAAAAAGTAGTATAGCTTACTAGAGTATATTAGACTTAATAGTCACTATATACAGTAATGGACTTTATACATTTTATATACAAGGTTAATGTCTTTACCAGTTGTTTTGCCTGCTAGTTTTTACAAATACCTTCTAATCTGCACTGCTTTGCATTTCAGGTGTGAATAACATGTTTTATCTATCATCACAGACTGTTTTATGTCTTTCATCAGCATCAACACCCATTTAAGTCCTTTAAATGTAATTTTACCTGCTATATTTGGTCCACTCTGCAATCACGAATATCTCATCGGTATTATAATCAGAATAATTACTTTTTCCTTTTTTTAATCTGAATGCTGGCATCATGCACTGACTAATAGGTTCCCAAAAGATTATTCTATATTTGGATCATGCTATTTTAATTCTTCTCCTGTGATCATCATTTCCTCACCAAAATCATTTTCTAAAGGGTTGAAATTTCGCAGGAATCATTTTAGTGTCAAATTACCAAAGTGTGGCCAGAAACCAAAAACATGTTTGTGGGGCACGAGGACGACACATCAAGCCAACAAATTCTGAGCATCACGCATGTCATTTCTGCAGAATTCTTCATCTTTTTCATTTAATATTATCCCTCTAGTGTAAATGTGGGCGTGATTCCCTGTTCTGTCCTATGTTTTGATTGTTTGGTTTTCAGTGAGTTTATAATTCCATCTCATAGCCGGCTGTTTTGTGTCTTTTGTCTGGGGAACTTACCAAATGTTGATCTGTCACTTATCTCAGGAGGGTTGAGGTACAGCAGACAGTTGTGTGTTTGGGGACGAGGTTTAGGGATCATGCACGTCTCATTTGTATTGTAAAGGCTGAACACAACATTAGCTTAGGAGTAGTTAGCAATAACACTGAAATACTTCCTTTCTATGGATGCCTTTTTTGCCCGGTGTTGAATGACCTCTGACCTAAACTGAGGTGAGTCAGGCCTGCAGTTCTTTAGATGTTTTTTTGGTTCTTTTGTGACCTCCTGGATGAGTCGCTGATGCTCTTGGAGCAGCTTTGGTAGGTGGGCCACTCCTGGCCACTGTTTACAGTTTTCTCCATTTGGATTTAATGACCTTCACTGTGGTTCTCTGGAGTCCCAAAGCCTTAGAAAATGCTTTTTAACCTTTGCGTGTTAATGACTTTCTTAGGTGATGGCTTGACGTGGGTTTTTGTTTGGTTTGGTTTTGATATCTTTTATCCTATTTCACTTTGTAAGATAGGTTCTGTTTAAGTGATTTCTTCGACAGGTCTGGCAGTAGGGCTGGGTCACCTGCTAGTCAGGCTCGGGTGTGGTTAACGAAAGTGAACTCACCGAGGGGCACTTAGTTTTTAATAAAGGGCAGGTTTGGATAGCATTTTGTTTCTCCTTAATAAATGAAATCATCATTTATAAACTGCATTCTGTATTTGGCCATCTATGTCTAATATTAGTTTGATGATCTCAAACGTGACAAAAATGCAAACACGAATCAGGGAGGGAGCAAAAACGTTTTCACAGCACTGACTGTAATCCCTGGAACTTCACACCTGTGCATAGGTGTGGAAAATGTTGCTATAACCGATTCAGCATGATCACATGTAGGACAAAGATTTAACGTGAGTGCAACTCCCTCACCAAATACAATAATATCTGTATAAGTGGTCTTATGAGTCTTGTTACACTGACTGGTTAGAGTTTGGGTGTGAGGGAGAAACCATCATAGACATTATAAAGGTGGGAAACATGGCGCTTGGACTAATAAGTTCAACTAATAACAGCAAATAGGACCTGATTTTGGTTAAAGATGTTGGCCACATAAAGTTGGACATGTGATCACCTCAGGTTACCAGGATACTGTCAAACCGCCTTAGTGCAGTGCGCAGTGCAGACCAGTAGATGGAGACACACGTGCATGTATACGGTATGACTTTGGCCATGATGTGCCTTCAGTCGTTTAAACAATTATTGTCAACTTAATAATAATTAATGATCACAAAGAAAAACAATCCAGATAAAAATAATAACAACACGTGTTTTAATAAGTGTGCCGATAAACTGGTCTTCTAATGAGCAGGTGAGTGCAGACACCGCGGGCACACTGAGCTCCGGAGTGTAACAGTCACCGCCCTCAAAGCGTTGGCGACTACATTTGAGGGCGTTTCTGGTCACTTTGACCCCGCCCACCCCTCCGGCCTCTCAGGTCAGTAGTTTGAGGCCTTTTCCCTTCGCCCTGCAGCGTCGGAAACATCTCGTTAAACCAGCATGTGGTAGTTCTCCCCCTGTGTTTGTATGAGAAGAAGCGCTGCTGCACACGTCTTATTCCATCTTCTTGGAGTGACGCGTGAGTCCAGACGGGCAACAGGTGTCCTGTGTTGCAGGTATGTTTCTTTTTTCTGTCGTCATATAAATGCATATATGATGGAAGAAGTGCAGTCTATTTTTTCTGTGTGGCTCACGGAGCTTCTTCGTTTTAATGTTGGGAAAAAAAGAGACGGGAAACCAACGTCTTACCCCTCTTTCCCTTTTTTTTTAATGCGGGGTTACCTTGGACAAACTTGAATGGGCTCCTCACAGAAAGCGGCTCAGGTCAAAAGGCCGTTCAGAAGCTCTAAATGGGTGCTGGTGTTCATGGTCAAGGGGAAACAGAGAGGGGGCCAGCAGAGAGGGGGCCAGCAGAGAGGGGGCCAGCAGAGAGGGGGCCAGCAGAGAGGGGGGCCAGCAGAGAGGGGCGCACCCTTTTAGGAGGAGATTCAGAAGCTGCGTTCTGGATGGGCGGGTGTGCGTGCTGTCTGCGGAGGTGCTGGGTTGCTTTGTGACAACATTCCTCCCACCACAGGTGGGTGATGGTTACAGGTTTGACTGCATAGCTGCTTTTCCGGTGCACATGACACAAAAAGAGAAGAATGTCTGGCTTACGTAATTAAAGGTCTCCTGTTGGCCGTTTTTCTTTTGGCGACTGAAAGCTCTTAGTTGGAATGTCACAGAAGTCCAAGCCTGGACCAACAGTGGAAACACTGCCAACTGCAGCGGCTTGGTTCCAGAGTTTTCCAAACCAGTCTCTGTTGGCATGCTTTTGGCTGGTTTTGTGAGATTTTTGATCCCCTCATCTGTTTTGTTTTGTATCTTATCCCCAGCTTCCTGCCGCTGATCCACATCTAAAAATGTCTTCTGAATGTGACATCAAAGCGCACCGCGTGCTCCTGTCAGGTTTAGTTTAACGCGTTGAGTCCTCTGCTTTAAAGCCTGCATTAATCTAATCTCTCCCACAGGGTGCTCTGTCCTCTGGTTCTTCATCATCAAGATGTCGACTGAGGTTTTGCAGCGGCTCAGCACCATAGCACTGAGCACCAAGCACCTGCGTCGTCTCCCTCACCTCTCAGACTTCCTCCCTTTCTCTTGCCTCCCAGGTACCCAGCCTGTTCCGGGAACCCTACATCCTGTCAGGATACCGTCCTGTCCAGCAAGACTGGCGCTGCTACCTCCTCAGCCTCTTCCGGAAACATAATGAGTCCCTGAACGTGTGGACCCACTTGCTGGCCGGTCCTGTCCTGCTGCTCCGCTGGTGGGCCAATGTAGACACCCTGGGGTGCACCTTGGATGACGTTACCTCGCTACCTCTGCTCCTGTTCTTGGTGTCATCTCTCACATATCTGTACCTCAGTGTGGCGGCTCATCTCCTGCAATCTCACTCCGAACGCGCGCACTACTTCTTCTTCTTGGACTACGTGGGTGTGGCCTGTATCAGTATGGGTGCTCGCTCGGCCACTATTTCTACGCGTCTGAGCCAGCGTGGCGAGAACACGTTGGGGTAATCTTTCTGCCTGGCGCCGCCTTCTTTGGGTGGCTCTCCTGCACCGGTTGCTGTTACGCCAAGTTCAGGTACAGGCGGCCATATCCACCTCAGCGTAAAGTGTGCCAGCTGATCCCCACCGGCCTAGCGTACGTGCTGGATATCAGCCCCGTAGCCCACCGCCTGCTCACTGTCTCCTGGTCACAGGAGCCCTCGCTACCCTTCCACGCTCTCCAGATTGCCTGTTTCCTCTTGTCTGCCCTCTTCTTCTCTTGCTCCATCCCTGAGCGCTTCTTTCCAGGCAACTGTGACTTTGCAGGCCAGGGTCACCAAATGTTCCACGTGCTTCTGTCCCTGTGCACCTTGTCCCAGCTGGAGGCTTTGTTCCAGGACTACGCCCGGTGGAGGGATACAGTGGTGGAGTTATTTGGGGAGCGGCAGTTGTGGTGGGCGTGCGTATCCTTCCCCGTCTTGTTTGTGTGCTGTATCCTGACGGCGCTGATCGCAATGAGGCACATGAGCAAGGCACTGCAGAGTAAAGACGAGTGAGAGCGCAACGAAGAAAAATCAAAGAGCAAATCATAATTATTTTAATAACAAAACCAAATACATATATTTACTTTTGTCTAAAAGATTCAGATAAAGGACTATCTTATCACGGAAATACTTGAAGAGTAAAAGACTCTGAAACTTCTTCCGGTCTGGTATATCTGAAGATTTAACTGCTGATTCATGAAAGAAATAGTTGCCATAATGTGCTAAGTAGAGCTGAGTGAAGTTTTCCACAGTGAGTCACCCTCCCATGTAACTGGTCACAGAGGCTCAGAGTAATCCAGGAGCACGATAACCTAAAATCGTCTCTGGATGCTGCTGGAAACGTATCGAGAACACAAACATTTATACTGTACATCACGTTCAGAGAAGATCAACTTAACGCGCTTTTGTCCTCGTCTGAAATTCACGTGAGAGACCAGAAACACGATAAACTTTGGAGGTTGTGTGGAGCGGGCTGTGAGCGACGTGTGTTTACAGGCATTATAATGGAAGCTAAACACTATATCTTGTCGACCCTGTTTGTTCCCATTGAGGAAAGTAGGTTATTGTATCTGAGGTTTCGGCCATTCTTTGTTCCGCTACACAGACTGTATGTCGAGCACTTTGAGGCTGCGGCCGCACCTTTTGTATCTATTATGTGAAGAAAGTTTCCCCCTGTGAGAGTTTACGGGACGGCCCAGAATGGGAGCGAGTCAGGCTCCTTTTAAAGGGATACTTCCACATTTTGTGAGGCTCTGCTACTCCAGTTTTATTAGAAAATTCATGCCACCCTCATTACTGTCAGCTTATCTCAAAGAGGAGGGAGTCGACTTTGTCCAAAGGTAACAAAGGTCGGGTTCAGTGAGTCACCACTTTATATGTGGTTGTTTGACTTCTTAGAAAAGGACGGCATGAATGAAAAGTTGCGGTTGTTAACAGGCTTGTGTGCTGGACCCTGGCTGGGTACGGTGGTTTCCTCTTGTTGGGTTACTTTTGAGGTTGAAAGTCCACGTTTAGCAGCAGTGAACAATATTTGATTCCTTACCTGTATTCATTTGATTGTGAGTGCACTGGCTGTCTAGCATGTAGACTTGTCTGTGATAGGTTAGCTGAGCTCTGTCCCAAAGCAGATTCATAAAGACTCGGTGCTGATTTCTCCTTTGGATGGGTCTTTATGTCTGTTCACGTTTCCTGTGCACAGTAAACATGCTCCACGTGACAAACTTCACACTGCATCCTTTAAAAGTGCTACTGGGCAGGTTTTGTAGCTCTTGGGCACAACTGGGCCTTTTTCCCAAACGATTCTGAACTTGTTCGATCTTTCTGCTGGAAGTCTCAGGACGAAAGCGATTAAGTATATGTCGTTTGAAATACATCACCTAAATATGTGTCCCAGCAGCCTGTTCATGAGCTCTGTATGCAGAGATCCAATGATAATGAGTAATCTTCTACACTTAGTATTCTTCCAATGGAAGCGAAGAGAGTTATTTGTTTGCTGCATTCGTGGCTATGGTCCAAATACCTGAAATGCTGTGGAAGAGTGGCTGTTGATTTCACTTTGTGTTGCTGAGCATATCTCATGTGAATATCAGCAAAAGGAAAATTGCTGAGAGGTACAGAGCGGGGCTCCGGGAGGTCCTCGTGACAGGATGGGGCTGTTAAACAGGTAATGGGTGTGGGCGCGTTGCTTGGTGTTCGTGTCATTCCTCATATGCGAGTCGGGGTGGTGAGGCGAGGACGTGTGGGTGTTGTGCAAGTGCTGGGGAACACCACTGCAATTCTCTGAATACTTGTTTATGTCAAACTTTCATAAAGGTGGCATATCCTGTTTGTGTGTGTGTCAAACTGGATCATATGTGTGGGAGAAATGTAGGACCGTCACTCGACTGTACTGGAACCATTAAACACTGTAATTCCACACCATGCTCTGGTTATACTTGCTGCCTAACAGGAAGTACCTGTTCATGTGCGCAACCATTCAGCTGGTCTGATAACTGCTCCAGGAGTTACTCTACGGTATGAGCCCTCAGTCATGAAACTAAGTCTTGACCCTATTCAAATTAATCTTTGTAATTCCACGAGCACAGCTGAGACTGCAGCCTGCAAAAGCACAATAATCCCTTCAGTCTGGATCCAGGTCCAGACAGTGCTCTGCATTAGAACAAAGATCCTTTTTTTGTCTAATACACCTGCCAGAGCCAATCAGCTGCCGGTACAGTGAGAAACATGGAGAAACTAGCATGTGTGTGTCTTTTTGTGTACAGTATATCCTCTGAAACCCCAGAGTCGACAGGATTATATAAAAAGTCTGATCGCACACATCATCGCATCACTGCTAACGTCTTTGCTGAAAACCTCATATAGGAAATAAGCTGCTTATCTGCTTTATGTACTCTACAGTTGCACTGCAAGCCACTTTGCAACCCCCTCGCCCAAACCACCACCTCCTCCTCCTCATGCCTTGACCCCGTCATGATGGTTCTGTGCTGGGATCTTTCCACATATCCCCAGAACAGAGCCATGTCACCGACAAAATACAGCACATTTAAATAACACGTTTCTTGTGCCTGTGGCGGTCCTGAGTTAAAAAACACAAAACACTGTATTACCATAGCTTGAAGATGACTGTATAGTTAAAGTGCGTAAAGATTAGAGGTCGAAGCAGCTGCTGGCCTGTGACCATCTGCAGTGTTTTCTAGGAAACAGCTGCTTTTGTTTATTATCGTTTGTACACTACAGCTTCCTGTATCGATTCATCTATTTTATCTTTTAAATAAGTCAGACAGGAGTTTTCCGATAAAATGCACATTCCAGCTTTTCTGGAATGCGTAGGCATGACAGACGCAAGTGTTATTCAGAGATAATGAACGAGACAATAGGTTGTTTATGGGCTGTGCGAGCACCTCCTTCATAACAGACTGGATAACTGGTCCCTCCCTAACTTGTTTGAATGCTTTGAGCCACATAAAGCAGAGGCAGTTGAATGACTGCGAGCAGCTGGTGACAGTTACAGAGCCAAGCAGCACGCGACGTAAGCTGTGAGCCCTTTAGTTTTATTTTGCCTTACAGGGTATAGTTATGGTTCTTTCACAGGAGTTTCACATAGCTAGGATCCACTGTGTGCACGTGAACTTTACTTCACAGCTCCTTTAATGTTGTTGTGTTTTTATTTCTTTATAGGAGACTTCAAGAATGGCTCCAGTTGGGATGGTCGGTGTACTGGGTTGGTTTTCTCCAGAGGTGGGCGTCATCTCCCTCGTCGCCTTCCTCGTCCTCAGCGTCACTCTTGTGGCTCTTTGTGCCAAGTGTAACAGGTGAGCAATGTGTGCCGATGAAATGGGACATCCATTCGGGTGCTTTTGTCTCTTTTCCTGTTGTTTACCTGCTTAAAAAGCTTGGAATATGCTGGGAATTAAAGGAGCCAGGAGCAGAGTCCGGGGACCTGACCAACACAGTCTGGTTTTAGTTGGCTCTCTTCATTTTCCTGTAGACTTTGCTCACCATTCATCACTCTCCCAAAGCTTGTCAGACCCGATAGCTGGTTTCTGATGAAGGGTGTTGCCCGTTGAAAGAGGAAGACGCAGACACAAATCACTCTGTGATCTGGCAGCTGCACCAAATGGGCTGGGCTCATAAAGCGTCACTACCCTAATGACCTCGATGAGGTGTGTGTGTGTGTGTGTGTCAAAGTGTTTCTGAGCGGTGTACCAGGGGCACGAAGAAATTGTGTCGTACCATAGGCACAGGAAAGGTTGTCGTACCATAGGCACAAGGAGAGAGTGTGTGTGGGCGGGCGGGCGGGCCCTGGCGGGAGTTTTACACACATTAGTGTGTGCATGTGTTTAAACGCCCATCATTGTGGTTTACATGCCAGACATAACAGTGACGAACTGCGAGGTGAAACAACACTCGTATCACCTGCTGCTTTTTCATTTAGAAGAGTTGGACTTGAACAGGAACATCACGATGACTGGTTGTTTACATAAAGCGTGGCAACAATCTGGCACCAATATAATTTATTGTTTATTGATTGAGTTGTGTACATATGGTCTCACATCCTCACAGGACTGATACATGTGGAAATTTTAGAACGATAGATGATCAGATCAGTGCGTGATCTTAGACAAGCTGCTTTTTAGAAACCCACGAGGCACATCTGGAGAAAGCCTCAACTCCTCGAGACACATTTCAGTGCAGTCAGACGTCTTTGTTCAGTCCCAAAACCTGAGACAGGTCGAGCAGAATCCAGACTCCAGTTTTACCAAAGTACATTAAAGCTTTCACAAATTTGTACCAGCAAGTCCAAATCTGGCCTGAAGTCTTACATTTCCATAGACTGTATATAAAAGATGGGACATCTGCATGGGTGTTTTTGCCATCACTTTCTTTGAAACTGGACATGACGAGAACAGTCTGGATCTGGATCTGCTAGCAGCGTTTCACTGACACATTGTTAGCCACTGGTATAGTTTTCCATGGTTTTTGTCTTTTCTGACTTGTTCTGTAGAGTTGTCGCCACCTGCTGGCTACTAGGAAGAATGCAAGTGTAACAAACTATGAAGGACAATTTTTCTCAAAGCAATCTGAAACCAGTCCGAGTGATTTTGACGTTTTTCCAGAGAAGCTAAATTTCCAATTCATTTTATTCTGATCAAAGTTTTTCATGAGTTTGGCCCGATTCAAGCAGCTAAATGAGGAATGTATCCTGCCCTCAGCTGAGCTTAGCTTTAGCCCTCGTGGTCCAAGCAGCCCTCTCAGATTTGGGGCTGGGCTGTGAGAGCGTGCACACAGCTGTGGACAATGGGACTGGTAAATCTATGCACTTATAGGTCGTGGTCGATATGTTTAATGAAAAGGTAGAAGGAGAGAAAAAAAAACTGATGACACATGGACAGAGTTTTGAGCCATAAAACAAAAATGGCACATTGGCATGTAAATAGGACTCTGCTCCTTTGTTTGCACTCTGTGTGGATGAGGAACAAATCTACAGCAGCATGCCATCATACGGCTTAATGACCTCCACTTTTCC